AGTGGACAGATAAAAATCTATAATAATAAAAAAGCCATATCAATAAAAACAATAAAACCTACTAAAAACAGAAATCAACTATTATCAATAATATGAGGTGTTACAATTTGCAGGTTCTTTGGACAGGGAGGCCCCGGCTCCCTTGGGGGGCTTTATAGCTCCTATGACCCTCCTGTGACATTCCCAACTCACACACATACTGGCCAAGTGTCACTGGGCCTCTCTAAGGAGGGAGGGGGGAAGAATGAGGGAGAAATATATTTGTCAGGATGGTTAATCCCTTTGCCAAGATGGAGGTTGAAGCCAAAATGGTTGAACCGCATCCATCTCTCGGTATACGCTGTTACACCTGTGACTAACAGTTAACCCCTCAGTTGACAGACACTTTTATATTGTACTACAAAAAACACTTTTAATGATGAGAATTTTAACTAAAAGTTTTTTAAAATTACAGATAGAAACTGTTTCATCCCAATAAACAGTTGCCATCACCCCAGGTGGCTAAACTGGATCCCCAAAGGACAGTTTCTACGCGTCTGTAGAAATTGCGACAAAATGGAGGACTTCATAACACAAACACTCTTAAACTACAGTTTGTAGAGAAAGGCTACAATAGCAATAATTTAGAGAAAGAGATTCAGGAGGTGGGTAATCCTAATAGAGAGAATCTCCTTGGCCCTGGGGTTAATCGTAAGAAGGAAAGATTCTGCCCTTTCTTCACTAATTATTTGATTCATCGCAAAAGAATATCAAGAATCATTAAGAGGAATTGGTCCATTCTTAAGAATGATCCTATATTGGGAGAAGTGTTATCCAGTCACCCAGAAATTACGTTCAGAAAAGCCCTCCCTTTGAGGAGCACCCTGGCACCGAACATCGTGAACCCACCAAGACAGCTCTCTTTTAATTTAAATCATAAAGGATTTTATCCCTGCAATCACTGCATGCTTTGTGTTCACAAAAAAACAGTTAAGAGTTTTCACTCTAATATCACCGGGAAATCATACGACATACAAACAGCAATAACTTGATACAGTACTCATGTCGTGTATTTGCTTGAACGTACCTGTGGTAAACAGTATGTTGGTAGAACCACGAGACGACTACGAGAGCATTTGACTAACATCAAAAAAGGATATAAGGAGCATTAGGTCTCGATGCATTTCCGGGTTGCCCACAACAAAAACCCACACTGTCTTAAGTTCACTGGGATAGACATGATAACTAGTCATTGGAGAGGCATTATTAAGCGCCGAGCGGTGTCGAGGCTTGAAACCAAGTGGATATACTTTTTACGGACTTCAGCACCACTTGGCCTTAACATAGACTTAGATATAAACTGTTACATCGCTACTAGTTAACTCTCTCGTTCTTAAATTTAATAATAGTTCATTAGGAACAAGGATTTTATCATACACTATAAGGTCTACGGCTGTTATTTTGTGTAATTTTTATGGAAAATTGCTCCATTAGGATATCGTTCTTTCAAGCTATTATATATTCAAATAGCATTATTTTCACATTATATCAACCTAACGGCCAATAAAGGCGCTACACCTCCACAATTTTAGATGCATGCGTCAGTTTAATTATGGCACTACTGACCAGTCTTTGGTACTGCTAGTTGTATTTCTCTGACCACGTATGCCACATTATGTTACTGTAAATAGACAACAGGGGAATTATATAGTACCCAATATGAGATATTTTTATCCTATACGCACAGGAATTACTTGTTTTATTATGATTGATAGATTTTTAGGTACAGATACATTGCTATAAATATAATTTTAATATCCATATATCTTCATATTTTTATTGGATTTTGAATGTTTTTATGTTTTAACACCATAGTACTGTGAATGTTTTATCTACATATCATATTCATTTATCGATCTATTTATTTATTATATGTGTGGGTTTGCACATGCCATATAGTTTTTTTTGACTTTCAGGCACTTGTAGTTCCACTACTACATCAAGCAGCTCTACTGATTATGATTAATATTGCCAATTTCATAACTACTGCTTAACAGCACAATTAACTACTGTATCAGATATACATACTTTCTGGTCTTTCTCCCATGAAAATCGGGATGAATTAAGGTTTGATTAGTCTATAATATAAGAAATCCATGGGCAGGAAGTAGAGGGGCAGCTTTCCCACTCCTCCCTATGATTCACAATATCTTCAATAGAAGTCTATGGAAAGACTGGACTTCTAGAAAATGGCCGCCGCGCGAGCGATCTGCGCATGAGCGAATGGACGGGGCCGACGTCACGGCTTGTCAATGTGCATGTGCCTCCCACAGTATATAAGAACTGTCACTGAGAGCGGCCAGCTTCCTTTGAAATCGTGCCTTAGCACGAAACATGTCAGGAAGTTGCTCTCAGTGACCCTACCACGTGGATTCCATAGATGGCCAGGGGCCATCATTGATATTTTAAGTGTAAGTGTCATTCTTTCATTGTTTTCACCATAATAAACAATATTGCACTATGGCATTCTTTGTGCTTGGGCTCATTCTTCTTTGAGCCTACCTTTTACAAGGAGATCGTCAGATGACACCTTAACTGCTGACTCCCTTTGGTGGATTTCCATTGTACTTCAAATATCTTGATGCTTGGTTAAACACCGTATGATGACATCATGGTTGCTGGCTCCCTCTGGTGATTTCTGATCGTAATTCGGGTATTTGGAAACTTGGCCGGTATGCTGTAATTCCTGCTGCTGCCTATTAGATGATCCAGATTCCAGATGTCCAACTGTAGATGACCAGTTTTTTCATCACTCATATGCGCTTAAATAGTGCTATCTGGTTAGTGAAATCTATACCTATATCTACCACCAATGTCACCATTGCCACCTTTGATCTTTTGAAAGACTGTCACTCTCAGGCCACACCTTGTCACCATTCTTGGAGTGTTGAATAACCAATTTTTCCTCTGGCTTAGAGACGCTATGTATATCCATATATGATACGGTTTCTGCATATATTTTATGAATATTATTATCCATTTCAGCGCTGCATGTTGTTTTTTATATTGTACATAGAAGGTTTGAGGTTATTACCTTTCATGCTATCTGCTCTATCCACACAGATCTAGCACTCGTTTTCCATTTATACGTTTTTACAAAAAACACTTGCTGGCAATTGAGGAGTTAACTGTTAGCCACATGCTTTGCTTCCTTCCTGGCAGCAATAGGGAGATGGAACATGTGTGCAGAAAGAGTACATCGATGGAACGTGTGCAGAGGAGATATGAGGATGGAACATGTGCAGAGGGGGTACAGGAATGAAACGTGTGCAGAGAGAGTACAGCAATGGAACATGTGTGCAGAGGAGATATGAGAATGGAACATGTGTGCAGAGGGGGTACAGGGATGAAACGTGTGCAGAGAGAGTACAGCGATGGAGCGTGTTTCAGAGGGGGTATAGAGATGGAATGTGTGCAGATACAGTACATCAATGAAACGTGTGCAGAGGGGGTACAGGAATGAAACGTGTGCAGAGAAAGTACACCAATGGAATATGTGTGCAGAGAGAGTACAGGGATGGAACATGTGCAGAGGGGGTACAGAAATGGAACATGTGTGCACAGAGCATACAGAGATGGAACATGTGTATAGAGAGAGTACAGGGATGGAACATGTGTATAGAGAGAGTACAGGGATGGAACATGTGTACAGAGAGAGTACAGGGATGGAACATGTGTGTAGAGGGGGTACAGGGATGGAACATGTGTGTGGAGGGGGCACAGGGATGGAACGTGTGCAGAGAGAGTACAGTGATGGAACAAAAAATATATAGGGAGTGGGAGATGGAGACAAAATAGCTCTCCATATCCTTGTGAACAGGGTTTTACTGGTACCACACCCCTAATGAAAATTGTGTTAGATAAGATTCTAACCAAGAAAAACTAATGGGTACTTTAGGGTACTAAACCATATAAATCAACATTGATTATACAAAAAATATTTGAAGACAGTAGATAAAATTGAACACCTTTTATTAGGTTAAAAAAACTACCAAGAGGTGGGACATGACCATCAAACATATACATGGAGAATCATAAAATACAGTTATTGACACCAGACACAGTAATCGCTACTGATATCCTAGACCAGGGGTCCTCAAACTTTTTGTATTTCAATAGTTTTTATTAGTTTTAAGCAGTATAAAACAGAGGCGACAAAACATGCCCCCACAGGGGCTATCAATTGCACCGATAAAATAAAAAACATAATAATAAAAGAAAAACAGTGCTCTAACTTCAACAAGGCAGAAGGTACGCCCCCACGCAGGGGCCTTCAATGGCACATAGGTTACAATGACGGTAATGAAATTCTAACTGCAATTAAAGGCAACTGTCAACTATCACCCAAAAAAAACTAACAGAAATGGAGAGAAAGAAAGAGAAGAGAAATAAGAGGAGAGAAAAAGAAAAAAAAGAGAAGAGGAGGCAGAGATCCAGGAGCGCCACCATCAAACGCCAATGCCTAACGCCAGTACATCCCCATACTAGCCAAAGGAAGCGTGGGAAAGGCATATTGCAACCATGGTTCCCATATTTTCGAGAATTTACATTGGGAGTCGTTACATATGCTCGACATCTGCTCATTAAGCATCATATTGGTCATACGATCCCGCACCCCCTGAAAAGGGACAGTCCTCAAACTTTTTAAACAGGGGGCCAGTTCACTGTCCCTCAGACCGCTGGAGGGCCGGACTATAGTTTAACAAAAAAAGAAAAAACTATGAACAAATGCGGACACAGTACAGGAGATGACCAGAGACTGCGGACATAGTACAGGAGATGACCAGAGACTGCGGGAATACTAGGCCGGCCGCTCCATAAGACACACAGACATTTCCCCCAAGTGTGTCTTACTAAGCGAAATAGTGCCCCATCATTGGTGTCAGTGGGAGGAATAGTGCCCCATCATTGGTGTCAGTGGGAAGAAACGTGCCCCATCATTGGTGTCAATGGGAGGAATAGTGCCCCATCATTGGTGTCAATGGGAGGAATAGTGCCCCATCATTGATGTCAGTGGGAGGAATAGTGCCCCATCATTGGTGTCAATGGGAGGAATAGTGCCCCATCATTGGTGTCAGTGGGAGGAATCGTGCCCCATCATTGGTGTCAGTGGGAGGAATAGTGCCCCATCAATGGTATCAGTGGGAGGAATAGTGCCCCATCATTGGTGTCAGTGGGGGGAGGAATAGTGCCCCATTGTTGGTGTCAGTGGGGGGAGGAATAGTTCCCCATCGTTGGTGTCAGTGGGGGGAGGAATAGTTCCCCATCGTTTGTGTCAGTGTGGGGGGGGGGATAGTGCCCCGTCATTAGTGTCAGTGGGAGGAATTAAGTATCAGTGACAGCAATGATGGGGCACTATTCCTCCCACTGACACCAATGACACTTAACTTGCTGACCCCTGTTCCAGCATGGTGCTGCTGCAGCCAGCATACCTGGTTGCAGCAGCACCATCTGCACGGCACACTTACCTGTCAGCTGTCCTTCACTCCGGCCTCTCCCTCACTCGATGTTCGTGGGGCCGCTCGGCTCCGCCTCCTTGCAGGTGATTTGTCGCCTGTGTGCCTTTCCTGGGCTACAGTTCTGGCGCCCAATCACCGGTGAGGAGGCGGAGCCGAGCAGCAGCATGAACATTGAGTGAGGGAGCTGCCGAACTGAATGAAGGAGCAGCGGTTCCTGGACTGGATCGTCATGGGACTGAGACACGAAGCCAGGTAAGATACAGCAGCCCCCTGCCCGCCCCTGTACTTGGTGTCCCTTCCTCACAGCAAATACGCCCCTGCCGGCGGGCCGGATAAATGTCCTCGGCGGGCCGCATGTGGCCCGCGGGCCGTAGTTTGAGGACCCCTGTCCTAGATGCAAAAGGGCGTCACGGGCATCAGCTACAAATAACCAGCAGCTACAACCTCAGAACATCAAGGCTAAACTGTGACTGATTTATGACACCTAGATAATTGCCGTCACATCATAAGTAGTAATAGACATAGATTAGTAAGACCTCATCTGGAATATGCAGTTCGGTTTTGGGCACAAATTCACAAAAAGAACATTGGGGAATTGGAGAAAGTACAGAGAAGGGCAACCAAACTGATAAGAGGCATGGAGGAGATCAGCTATTAGGAAAGATTAGAGGAACTGAATTTATTCTCTCTTGAGAAGAGGAGGTTAAGGGGGGATATGATCAACATGTACAAATACATCAATACATATAGTGAACTTGGTGTAGAGCTATTCACCCTGAGCTCAACACAGAGGACAAGGGGGCACTCTTTGGAGGAAAAGAAATGTAATCTCCAAACGCGGAAAGGTTTCTTCACAGTGAGAGCTGTGAAAATGTGGAATAGACTCCCTCAAGAGTTGGTTCTGGCCAGCTCAGTGGATTGCTTCAAAAAAGGCCTGGATTCTATTTTAGATACACAGAATATAACTGGATACTAACATTTATAGTTAAAGTTGATCCAGGGAATATCTGATTGCCTCTCGGGGGATCAGGAAGGAATTTTTTCCCAGCAGGAGCAAATTGGATCATGGTTTGCTGTTTTTTTTTGCCTTCCTCTGGTTCAACTGTGGGTATAGGATTATAACTTTTTTTTTTTTTCTATGGTTGAACTGGATGGACTTTTGTCTTTTTTCAGCCAAACTAACTATGTAACATAATGGTGCATGGCTTCAGCCTAGAATCATAGAGTGGTACTTGGTTGATAATGCAACACCTAGAAAGGTGGTATCACATTACAGGTGTCAACAGACATGTAGATACATAGCTTCCGCTTAGAACCATGAATAAGCCAATGCCGCTTCTTCAGGGAAAACAAAACACAAATTCCTACAATAAAGCAAAAATAGGACCAAGAACATATAATCAATATATAACCATACAAAAAATTTGACAAACAACAAATGTAAATAAAAGGCTTGACAGCAATTACTAGTTGACGATAAGGAATCCCAACTACACCCCTACTTCCCATATTGGTCATAAATCAAAGCCCTTCAAAGAAGGGGGGGGGGGAGATTTATTACAAACAATAAGTATTGATTAAATCCCCATATCAGATTCAGCTTCAATAAGCAAGCAACATAGTACAAAAATATATATAAATATATAAGCCCAGGATCCATCCAAATACATACCACAGTACTGTTAGTACATTGGCCAATAAGTGTTCCAAAAACAGGGTACCAAAATAAGAGGCTAGAGTTGTTTTCCGTTAACAGAGAGGAGCCTCACCCCCCTATTCCCTGTGTAGTCCTGAATTGAAATAAGCCTGCCAGGCTTTAAATAGCGGTCAATTGGCACCAAAATGGCAGCTTTGGAGCTGTAATGAGCATGTGTGATGACGTTAGTGACGCATAGTGATGACATCCGACGTCATCACGTCACGCAACGTGATGTAAAACATCCAAAAAAGTCACGGCCATCTTAAAGAAGCACAAGATATAAGACCTGATATCAGGACCTGACGAAGCTGAGTAAGATACGTCCATTGGCGAAACGTCAGTGACGTCACTACCGGTCAGACGCATTGGCGCCATACACCTAGTCCTGCAGGGGACACGGAAACACACGATCGTGCTGGGTGCTCATCAATCTGCACGTGTACCGGGATGGAAGCGGAGCCCATTTGTCCATAGTCCCGATGCTGGCGGGTGCCTCCAGGACTCCGGGCTTGAATCCAATAACGAGAGAGATTATGCACCGTTCTTTACTCATTGAACGGGTGGTGAGTGGAACACTGCAAATACAGAAAAGGAATTATGGCCTCAATATCTGATATACTTAGTGACAACCATATTGACTATCTTTTATGTCACTTATTCACTACAGGATGGGGACATCATGCCATACTTCTTAGATGGTGCACAGCACCCTATTTTCACTATACAGTATGGATATTCTTATCATCTACACAACAGATATACAATAAGGGAGACATCTAGTCCGCATACTGGCGGTGAAGAATTCCTATATTACACTGGCAGGGCCCTGCAATTTCAACTACAGATGACGGATGTCATATGAAGAAGTCAGCATTGTCATTAAGTTTTTTCCATAGTGTTATCTCTGGACATTATTGTCAATTCATCAGTCAAGAACCACTCATCCCTGTTGAAAGCGCAATATATTTTTCCTACATGAAAGTGTGTGTTAACATATTACAGCATCAGGTTAACTGGTGCCTACATTAGCAATCCAATTTTTTTGTGCTGCTATATGTCTATCTTGGATCCTTGCCCTGAGTTGGATCTTTTACTAGCATATAAGAATTGTTTAACCAGTTGCCGCCCGGTCTATAGCCAGAAGGTGGCTGGGCGAACAGCGCATCCCTCCAAGTGGGACGCCTTATGGAGTCCTTCCAGGCATGCACACTGCGCCTGCCCGCAGGGCCGCGCAGCGGCGCAATCTGTCACCGGCATGTACCTCGGACTTCCTTTCATGCCATCCATTGTATACAAGTGTGTCTAGCTGTGAATGGTCACAGCGATCACATGCACAAGCTGGGCCAATCACAGCCCAGCTGTGTCCTGTGATTAGCTGTGGCCAAATCACAGCTAGACACACTTGTATACAATGGATGGCATGAAAGGAAGTCCGAGGTACATGGCCGGTGACAGATTGCGCCGCTGCGCAGCCCTGCGGGCAGGCACAGTGTGCATACCTGGAAGGATGCCATAAGGCGTCCACTTGGAGGGACGAGCTGTCGCCCGTCCGCCATCTGGCTATAGACCGGGCGGCAACTGGTTAAACAATTTTTATATGCTTTCCGAAAAATTATGACAAAAAAATTACAACTTAAAGAACTCACCATGCCTGTTATGAAATATGTCGGACTGTCTACTTTGCAAAAAGGGGTCATTTGGGGGATATCTGTACTGTTCTGATATTCTTGGACCTCAAGAAATTAGATTGGCCATCAGTACTTCAGGATTGATCAATATTCAGCTATATCCCTTAGTTTGTGAACTCTATAACTTTCCTACAGACTAAATAATACATCCTAATTTGGGTTATTTTCACCAAAGAAATGTAGTAGAATATATTTTAGCCTACATTTATGAAGAACAATTACCGTATTTTCCGGCGTATAAGACGACTGGGCGTATAAGACGACCCCCTACTTTTCCTGCTAAAATGTAGTGTTTGGGCTATACTCACCGTATAAGACTACCCCTCTTCCAATGAACACCAGTGGGAGGAATAGTGCCCCATCATCAGTGTCAGTGGGAGGAATAGTGCCCCATCATTGGTGTCAGTGGGAGGAATAGTGCCCCATCATTGGTGTCAGTGGGAGGAATAGTGCCACATCATTGGTATTAGTGGAAGGAATAGTGCCCCATCATTGGTATCAGTGGGAGGAATAGTGCCCCACCATTGGTATTAGTGGAAGGAATAGTGCCCCATCATTGGTAATAGTGGGAGGAATAGTGCACCATTATTGGTGTCAGAGCGACGAATCGTGCCACATCATTGGTGTCAGTGGGAGGAATAGCACCCCATCATTGGTGTCAGTGGGAGGAATAGCACCCCATCATTGGTATCAGTGGCAGGAATAGTGCCCTATCATTAATATCAGTGAGAGGAATCGTGCCCCATCTTTGGTGTCAGTGGGGGGAATCGTGCCCCATCATTATTATCAGTGGGAGGAATAGTGCCCCATCTTTGGTGTCAGTGGGGGGAATCGTGCCCCATCATTGGTATCAGTGGGAGGAATAGTGTCCCATCATTAGTGTCAGTGGGAGGAATAGTGCCCCATCATTAGTATCAGTGGGAGGAATAGTGCCCCATCTTTGGTGTCAGTGGGGGGAATCGTGCCCCATCATTGGTATCAGTGGCAGGAATAGTGCCCCATGATTAGTATCAGTAGGGGGAAATAGTGCCCCATCATTGGTGTCATTGGTGTGTGGGAGGAATAGTGCCCCATCATTGGTGTCAGTGGGAGAAATGGTGTCCCATCATTGGTGTCAGTGGGGGGTGAAATAGTGCCCCATCATTGGTGTCAGTGGGGGGGGAGGAATAGTGCCCCATCGTTGGCGTCAGTGGGGGGGGAGGAATAGTGCCCCATGGTTGATGTCAGTGGGGGGGAGGAATAGTGCCCCATCATTGGTGTCAGTGGGAGGAATAGTGCCCCATCATTGGTGTCAGTGGGAGGAATAGTGCCCCACCATTGGTATTAGTGGAAGGAATAGTGCCCCATCATTGGTAATAGTGGGAGGAATAGTGCACCATTATTGGTGTCAGAGCGACGAATCGTGCCACATCATTGGTGTCAGTGGGAGGAATAGCACCCCATCATTGGTGTCAGTGGGAGGAATAGCACCCCATCATTGGTGTCAGTGAGAGGAATTGTGCCCCATCATTGGTATCAGTGGCAGGAATAGTGCCCTATCATTAATATCAGTGAGAGAGGAATCGTGCCCCATCTTTGGTGTCAGTCAGTGGGGGGAATCGTGCCCCCCATCAGGAATTATTATCAGTGGGAGGAATAGTGCCCCATCTTTGGTGTCAGTGGGGGAATCGTGCCCCATCATTGGTATCAGTGGCAGGAATAGTGCCCCATGATTAGTATCAGTGGGGGGAATAGTGCCCCATCATTGGTGTCAGTGGGAGGAATAGGCCCCATCATTGGTGTCAGTGGGAGGAATAGTGCCCCATCATTGGTGTCAGTGGGAGGAATAGTGTCCCAACATTGGTGTCAGTGGGAGGGAAGGAGCAGCCGCGCTTCCTGGACCGGATCGTCGTCGTGGGACCGGAGCCAGGTAAGAAACAGCAGCCCCTGCCCACCCCTGTACTTAGTGTCCCTTCCGTTGGAAGGGGGGCGGGGCGGCGGCGGCACCGCGCCGCCCCCCTAAAAAGTGTCAGCATGCCGTATACCGGCGTATAAGACGACCCCCGACTTTTGAAAAGATTTTCAAGGGGTAAAAAGTTGTCTTATACACCGGAAAATACGGTATTTATTTTCAAACTTTTATGACAGAAACAGAGAAAAATGTGGGTTTTTTTTTCAAAATTTTTGGTCTTTTTTGTTCATTTAGTAAAAAATAAAAACCCCAGTGGTGATTAAATATGACCAAAAGAAAGCTCTAGTTGTGTTAAGAAAATTATAAAATTTTAGTTTGGGTACAGTGTTGTATGACCGCGCGTCATTCAAAGTGTGAGAGCGTTGAAACCTGAAAATTGGCCTGGGCAGGAAGGGGATAAAAGTGCCCTGTATAGAAGCAGTTAATTGGGCTCCTCAGTCCATATTATACTGGTACCAATGTTTATACTATTGCATATTTGGTGTATAGCCTTTTAAGGTTACAATTTTTGCATACATCCCCTACATTGTGGTGTTTTCAATGTGCCTGTGCTGTATATACACTAGACCTAGTGTCATTGTATTTATAGCACAACTGTACTTATGGCCATCCCCTCCAACCGTCCCGTCTCCTTCCTGGCTATCTTATGCTGATCAGTGTGAGCTGTGCCGTCGGGTGGTGGGGCTTGCGGGAGGTGGGAGTTTTAAATATAGACCTGTGTCAAAATAAATTGTTACTCTAGTGCATACATTGTAACATTACCTCAGATATATCCATAGTGCAGTTTTTTCAGTTTCTGTGACTAAAAACGGTTTTGCACTTATGGCTTCCAAAAAGCGTCTTGCTAGCGCCAAAGCGGTTTATGATGAGCTAGCAAACAGCAACAGTCATGAGCTACTTGAATTAAGTGATAGCGACTCATGTGACAATTTGTCTTCAGACACCGACAGTGAAGACAGCGGTGAATCTGAGATTGACGTGAGTGATCTGCGAATGTGCTGCACTATTGATTGCGGTACGCCAGCGCCACCAAAATTTCCGTTTACCAGCGCACTTGGTATAAAAGTCCACGTGTTGAAGGTGACAACCCCTTGGCGTACTTAGAATTGCTTCTAACCGATGAGGTTATTGAAATTATCATGACGGAGACAAATAGGTACACAGCACAATTAGCTGCTCCACACAGCAGGTTTTCACAAAGCAGAAAGTGGGAACCTGTGACCAAAGAAGACATTTGGCTGTTTCTTGGCCTAATTATTCTGCAAGGAGTGGTGGGGAAACCGCTGAAGAAGTGGTACTGGACCACCAACAAAATGCTCGCCACGCCATTCTTTGGCGCAGTCATGTCAGAGTACAGCTTTTCGCTTATGAAATTTTTGCACTTCGCAAACAATGAGGATTTTGATGAAACAACTCATCCGGCTCCAAAGCTAAAAAAAATTTGGGAAGTCTCCCAAATAATTGCCAGAAATTTCCAGCAGAGCTATGTGCCAGAGAGTGACATTAGCATAAACAAAAGTCTAATGGCCTACAAAGGAAGGCTCAGCTGGATACAGTATATCGCATCCAAGAGAGCACGATTTGGTGTCAAATCCTACCTGCTGTGCGAATCCTCTACCGGATACATATGGAACACAGTTATATACACCGGCAAAGGAACAAAATTTGATCCCAAGTACAGTAAATATGGAATGGCAACATCTTCCGTCCTGTCACTGATTGAGCCTCTGCTAAACCAAGGCTACCGTGTAACAACAGACAATTTCTATACCTCTCCAGAACTTTACGAGGTTCTTCTGCAGCACGAAACGGATGCATATGCAACCATTCTGGCTAACCGGCGCAACCTGCCATCAATGTTTGGAAAAACCAAACTGAAGTCGGGAGAAATAGTTGCCTGGCAGAAAAGCAAAATGACGGCACTGAGATGGTGGGACAAGAAGGATGTGTGCCTAATGAGTACCGTTCATAATGCTCCACAGTGATGGTACAAACAAAGGTGGGAAAAACATCCAGAAGCCACAGGTTGTTATTGACTACAATAGCACCATGGGAGGTGTCGACAGAGCTGACCAAGCTATGACTTTCTATCCGGCAATGAGAAAGCAGCAGAGGAAATATTACAAAAAGATTTTCCGGCATCATTTGGAACAGTGCTTGTGGAATGCCTACATTCTGTTCCGCAAAAACAGTGACAAGCCTGTGCTTCATGCAGACTTTATCTGGAAAGTTGTGGAATCCATTTTCCTCAAACATCAAAGACCATCAGTGTCTGTGGGTAGATTCAGACGACGTGCTGTGGGAGTTGTCAACCCAGAACGCCTGACTGGATGTCACTTTATGGACCACATCCCACCAACCCAAAAAAAGACACGGATGTGCGTGGTATGTTGTGCTCGGCGAGATGAGAGTGGGAAAAAAAAAATCCGCAAGGAAACGAGGTACCACTGTCCTGATTGCGATGTCGGACTTTGTGCAGTCTCGTGTTTCAAAATATACCACACACCGTGATGTTTTCTAGAATATGCAATGTCTATATATTATTGTTTGGACAGAGTTCCGTGTGTTTGATTTGATTACATTATTTAATTTACTATTATATTATTATTTTTTCTTATATTATAATTTATGATTTAATGTATTAAACTTTATTGCACCCAGGATCTCTACTAGACTCTTGTTTAAACAGATTTCAGTGAGTTATTCCTAAGAATTACAGGCCTACAATAGAAAAAAAAACATATTTCCATTGAAAACAATGTACCGCTTTGAAGATATACAGGTTCCAGCTAGTACACTTTTAGTGGCCTTGGATGTGGAAGCTCCCTACAGTAGTATTCCCCCACAAGAAAGGACTAGAAATTGTGAGCATGTTCTTACAAGAACATAGTAGGGATCAATTTGAGCTTTTATCCTACGGATTTTGGATTAAATCTTGAATAACAATTATTTTTCGTTTGGTTCCCATTTCCTCCAAGTGCAAGGTGTGGCTATGGGGACGAATTGTGCCCCCACTTTTGGCAACTTGTACTTGGGGGGATGGGAACATCACCTCTTCGGGGAAGAGTCTCTCTCAATGTACCTGTGCCACATTCTTTCTTGGCACAGGTACATTGATGACATTCTCATACTCTGGGATGGTACTAGGGAGCTTCTCGATGCCTTTCTTATACGTTTGGGTACTAATGACTTTAATTTGTCTTTTACGGTGACGTGATTATAAGCGAACCTCCTTTTTGAATGTGTAAATTTTCATTAAAGAGGAGCATACACTTGGGTCCACTCTGTATCGCAAAACCACAGCTGGCAATACGATACTTTGAGCTAACAGTGACCAATCCGCATAGCCTGATCAGGTCTATACCATATAGCCAATACTTACGCCTTAAACGTAATTGTTCTAATCAGGAAGACTATAAACGAGAAGCTGATGCTTTTTAGATTGGGACTTTGAACATCTTAGTACAGATCTTGTTTTTCAGGTACCGTAGAGCAATATAAAAGGGACCACTACTACAACCATATTAGTCATGGGATATAACAAACAACAACAACAAATACGTCACATTGTTAGCATATATTGGTATTTGTTACAGGCGGACCCCAATATAGCCATTTTTGTGAAGA